GCGGGGGGAGGGCTGGGGGTGGCATGGACCGGGGCGGGACCTGCAAATGGGCGGCCTGCGGATCGGCTACAGGTTTGGCTAGCCACGCAAGGCTCATCGGGCGGGGGAGGGAGCGGGGGCAGGGTCGGGAGTGGGTTATACAGAATCTCTCTTCGGTCCATGATTTTTAGTGTCTGGCAAATTCATGAATTTAAGCACTGAGCCTCGTGTTGAACAGATTCCTGAGAGGTCGGCCAGAGTGAGCCTTTGTGAAGCGTGTTTGCCCACAAGAGGCTCCGTGTTTGTCTCTCCTGTTTCCTGTGTGAGTTCGTGCGAGAGGTTGGGGATTATCTGCTTTCACCGACACCGATGTCACTGGGGCATTGAACGCACTGGATGGAGTGTGCCACATGTTGGAATTAGCTTGGAAAAGAGACAACTAAGGAAAGGGGGGATGGGACAGAGGCCCATAAATCATGCCAGGGTGGAGAAGGGGAATAAGCAAACGTTATTTCCTTGTTCCCATAACACAGGAACAGGGGTCACCACGGCTACGTCTACACTGCACAGTTAGTTTGGAACAAGCTATTCTGGACTAGTTACTCTGGAATAGCTCCTTTCGAAACAGCGCGCCTACACCGCAGGGAAGCCTCAAAACGAGTCCAAGGCTGGCTCCCCTAAGGGAGACGCGCTACCTCGATTGAGAGCCCCGGGAGGCAGTGGGGAGGGGCTATTTTGAAATGGCAGCAGCGGAGCCTCCACACAGGCCGAAATGGCAGCAGCGGAGCATCCACACAGGCCGTATTTCAAAAGAGCTATTTGGGAACAGGCCCTATTCCTCGTAGAACGAGGTTTACAGAAGTCGGAATAAGCTGCCCGTTATTTCAAAATAACAGAATTACTGTGTAGACGCTCGCATAGTTATTTTGGAATAATGGCCGAAATAACTTTGCTGTGAATACACACCCCAAATGAAATGAATGGGTAGCAGATTTAAAACAAATGAAAGGAAATATTTCTTCACACCTGTGGAACTCCTTGACATAGGATGCTGTGAAGGCCCAGGCTATAACAGGATTCAAAAAAGAGCTAGACAAATTCATGGAGGATAGGCCCATCCATGGCTAATGGGCAGGGATGGTGTCCCTAGACCAGGGGTGGGCAATAGGGCAGCAGCAGCTCACCAGGGTGAGCTCCTGGTGGGCCCTGACAGTGTATGAGATTATACCCTAGGGCCTGATTTGCAGCTCTAGGGGAGAACCACCTGTTGACTTCAGTGGGAGTTGTGCATGTGTCGGGGACTGGGCCTCTGTTTTTTTCCCAGACTGTCTCTTTGCCTATGGCCATAAATTATCAGGTCTGGCCACCTCGTCAATTGATTGTTTCCTGTTGTGCTGCTTGAAGGCTAGACACCATCTCGTCCAGTAAAGCACAAGACTGTCATTAACCCAGGAAGAGTATTCCCAGAAGCAAATTCTTACAGTGTTAGAAATAACATTCTCCACACTCATGTGACTACGAGATGTGAAATAATCGCCTCCCACAAACTAGCTCAAACAACAGAAAACTTGTTGAAACAGCCCCTTGTAGCTGGAAGGCACCGTGGCAAAGGCCAGTGTCTTCCTCTCAGGGTGTCTCTGGGAAAGCCGGCCTTTCCACCATAGCAGGTCCCCGGGGCGCTGCTTGAGAATCCCCTCGGGGCGCACAACATCCCCCAAATCCCGCTCCGCCAATGGGGCGAGGCAGGTTTACTCCAGACGAGGATCTGATCCTTTTATAAACAATGAAGACACATGATCCTTGAGTCTGACCAAGCCTATAAATGGGAATCCCTCTCTACCTCGCAGCCATGCCACCGTACGTGAGAGTTAGTCAGGCCCCACGGATGTGGGAGGATCAAGCGTGGTCACTGTTTGTGTGGGGGACAACCGGGGACACGTGTGATTCTATCCCTAGCAGCACTCGTCTCTTGGCGAAACTTCGGAGCCAATGCCTCGGCTGGGGGGCTGGGCTGCGGAAGGCTGTTGTTCCAAGGAGTGTGATGTGTGGATAAGGCACTGGATTGGGACTCGAGAGAGCTGGGTTCCCAGGTCTGCCGTGGACGTAGGAAAATCAGTTATGGTCTCTGCTTCGCTGATCATTAATGCTCCACTCTCCTTCACTCTGTCTTGTCTACTTCGATGGCAAACTCTGGTGCAAGGACTCAGTCTTGTGTGTAGGGACATTTGGCAAAATGGGAACTCAGGCTGGTTGGAGCCTGTAGGCCCGATACGTAATATGAATAATCGCAAACTCCTGTGCAGGTCCAGTGGGCTGCAGTTTTCTCCTTCTCTCGCTGCCTGCACAGTTGTACAACGCCGGCGCGTGAGGAGCCAGCAGGCGCATCCGCCCGAGCAGTCCCCTGGGGTGTCACACTCGAAGCGAGTAGAGTGAAAACAGAGCAGGGTGGCCACACAAGATTCTTGTTCTAAGGGACAGACACTCAGGGAGCTGGGGCTCCAGCAGAGTTAGAGTAACGGATCTGACAGCTGACCAGTCAGCCTGGCCGAGCACTGCCGAGGGCACGCTGAAATCCAGGACCAAGAGGTGCACTGAGATTCGTAACACTCTGCATTTCGTTAAGAACTCCCTCGCAAGATGCTCCAAGCCATCATGGAGAAGGCTTGCGACACCCCAGGGAGTCCTGTAGTATCGTCCCCATGTCACAGAGGGATGCGGAGGCACAGAGAGGTTAACGTGTTATTCAACATCACACAGAGTCACGGGCAGAATCAGGAACAGAACTTGGGGCCAGGACCAGATCCACAGCTGGTGTAAACTAGCATAAGTCCATGCAAGGCAGTGGGGGATCCGGCCCTTGTTTCAAGCATTAGACCACCCGCCTGCTAGGAACACACCTACGAGGTGACAGCCCAGCTGTGACACTCCCAAAGGCTCCTCCGGGCTGTGGGGTCCTTCAACCCCTCGGGTTACGCTGTGGTGCAGGCGGCGCGTTGCTGCAGTGGCACATCTGGGCTGCCTGGGCGACCGGGACTGCTGGGCTCTGACCTGTTTCCAGTGAAGTCAATGGCACAAATCCCACTGACTTCACTGGGCCAGGAGGAAGCCAGAGGTGCACAGGAGATACACCTACTCCTATCTCCTAGAGCTGGAAGGGACCTCGAGTCATCGAGTCCAGTCCCCTGCCCTCACGGCAGGACCAAGTACCATCTCTGCCAGATGTGCCCCAGATCCCTAAATGGTCCCCTCAAGGATTGAGCTCTCAACCCTGGGTTTAGCAGGCCAATGCTCAAACCACTGTGCTATCCTTCCCTGTCGCACACCCTTACTGGGCAAGCCATGCTGTGGCCCATGCAGGGTTAAACGCAGTCGGGTGGTCACCCTATAATCCCCCATATCACTGAAAGGGAACTGTACTTTGGCGTTGACCCCCTGGGGTTTGCCCCTTACTTTGTACTGATTGGGCGCTGGGGTGGTCTTTTGCACTCGCTTCTTAGCAATGGGCTGCTGAAACATGCTGGAGTTTCCGGTGCTGAAATCTTGCTTGGACTGGAAGGCCAGGGAAAGGTCGTAGGCGTTCGCAGCCGGGTAGCTGGGTTTTCTGTTGCAGGGGAGACGAGCATCCTGGAAAGAGAGAAACGAAAGGACTCAGTAGAGCTGAATAGCGGTGCTGGAGGGAGAGGGGCGAAGTGCTTGGACCAGGCTGTGGCCTCTGGCCCTTTACATATGGCTATCAGGAACGAATGGTGGGGAGACTTTCCATTGCAGCTCCGAAGGAGTCTAATCCTGCCGGGATGGTGCCGAGCGCCACTCGTTCCCTTTGGCTCAGCCGCTTCACTTGGGCAGTGATTCAATGATCTTCCTTTGGGCTGGGCTGCAGATTCTAACGGACGGGGCAAAGTTACGGGCGCTCAGCGCTCGGAGCATCGAAAGGACCAAGCCGAGTCTCTAGCTTGGCTCATGCTTTGTGAATCCAACTGAAATAAACAGATCTTTCTTGTCACTGGTTTTAGCCATTTTCAAGCTGGTTGAGTGCAACACCTGCAGCTAGCCCGTGTGTGGGGGAGGAGGGGGAATGTTTGTCCCTCCCCCCTTCACTTCCGTAACTCCAGCTCAGCTCCGCCAATCCTGCTCCAGTTTTCTATTCAAAAGGGGGGAAAAATCACCTAAGGGGTGAGACCAAGCGCAGAACATTTAGCCCCAGAGGAATTTGTTTCCTAAGCAATAGGCACAATTGAAAAAGCAGGTCAGCTGGAGAATGGAATCCAGTGGCGTCTGCCCGTGGCTGGTCCAGGGATTATCTGTCGCAGGGGCTGGGAAGGTTCTCCATTACTGTTCTTCTCTAGCACTATTGTATCTCAGGCCCAGACCCTCCCGGCATTTGGTAAGGCACTCTAAATGTATGCAGCAAGGGATGAAAAATGAGACATGATCATTAAAGGCCTATTGAAATCAACTGAAAATCCCTTCGGCCTGGATCTTCTAAGGTAATTAAGTGACTAACTCCCTTTAATTTCAGTCGGAGTTGGACACTCACACCTCCTGGGCGGTGGCTCAGGCCCTGAACAATGCGAGCCCTTCCCCTTACCATGGACGGGAAGTAGCCCGTTCCTTTCGTCGACAGGGAGGTGCTGTTCATCTCTGCAGGCTGGTGAACGACATTGTAGAATCCCGGGCCTGGAATTTCATTCTAAAAAGGAACCAGAGAACAGTTCCCAGCCGTCGCCCTCCCGAACACACTCCAAAAACGACTTGGCAAGTTTCGGAGCTGTGACGCATGGGGGTGGGTGAAGGCCCAGCTGGGGAAGGCAGCCAAAGCCCCGCCCCCTCTCCTCAAAGCCACACCCCTTTCCCCGAGACCATGCTACATCACCTCCCGCCCGAGCCCCGCCCAACCCCAGATGAGGGCTAGGGCTCCCACGTGGCATGGCCCCAGCCTTCCCCAGCCACCAGGCTGCCATGCAGCAGGGCCCTAGCCCCTCCTGAGCTGCTGGACAGTGTAGCACTTTTGGGAAGGCAATGCCTTTCCTGGCCTGCATTACCTTCTGCCCATGCTGTGACGGCAAAACCTAGGAATTGCCAGGCTGGGTCAGATGAGAGATCCGGACTGTCCATTATCCTGTCTCAGTGGCTAGGGGCAGATGCATCAATGGAAGGTGCAAGAATGCCTTAATGGACGGGTATGGGATAACCGAAAAGGACTGTTACTGCTATGCCGGGGATGTGCTCACAGCAGGCCTGCTGACCTGGGGGCGAGGGGAGGGACAGTGGCAGTAGATGCTGGAGAGGAGGTGGATGCCATCAGCTTTAGTGTCCCTGAGTCTTGTAGAGCGAAGCATGCCTTATCAACAGTGTGGCCTCCTCCACAATGTAACTATTGATACTTTCGTGATCAGTAACAGAAGCTAAACACTTTAAAATCCTACGAACTCTTGGCCTTGATTATACCCAGTGGCAGTGAGTTCCAGAGGTTACCTTTATTATTTGTTATTACCACAATGCATAGGAGTTCCGATTATGTACCCGGATCCCATCTTGCTAGGTACTGCACAAAGAAGCTACGCTGTGTGCACAATTATTTCCTTTGGTTGGTTTTCAGTTTGATGTGAACAAGCCTTGTTTTCACACAATGAGAGAGAGTAACCAGGAGCTCCCTATTCCCCTCTCCTCTCTCAGATCAAATCTCATTTGTCTCCTCTCAAAACCAAACCCCAGTCTCTCTCCAGGACTCATAATTGTCATCTATTTCTGAAACCCTCCTATTTGTGCTGCAGCTTTAATTTTGAGTCAGGGTGACCAGAAATGCACAGAACATTCCAGGTGAAGGCGTACCCTGGATATAAATAATGGCATTATAATATTTTCAGTATCATTTTCCATTCCATTCCATGGGCACCTGATCATTTTGTAGTAGCTGTCATTGTGCAATGAGCAGATGGTTTTCATTGTTTCAAAATAATAATCTTATTTTAATGCCAGTCTCAAATTGCACAGAAAAATTAATATGAAATGGGAGATTATGTTTCCTTCGTGTCTGCAAGGCAATTTATACAGCTTGGGAGTTTCGGAGTGAGTCTGAAATCTCTCTTGTACATCTGACTTGACTGAATTAATTCAGTGTGTGGACAGAATGCATTATTTGCAGTTACCGCACCCTCCCTGACTCAGCTCTCTGCCTGAGAGAGAACTGGGTGGGATTCTGTTTAGAGAGCAAAATAAACCCAAACTAGCCTCAGTTCAAGGCAATGACCCTATAAGCATTTGAGGCTCAGTTCTGCAAGGAACTAAAGATCTGTAAAGTCCTGTGCTCCCGCTAACCCAAGGGACACCAGCCAGATTTGTAGAGGCTCAGGACTGTGTGGGATGAGAAATATAGCCTGCTGTCAACACACATGTTGGAGGACGCAGGTATGTAGGAATGGAAATATCTGAGTCTCCTGAGCCTGGAGGGCATATCAGCATCATGTGACCTTGTCAATTACCAGTGGAAAATATTTTGGATGGAGCGCTGGACAAGCAGAGGAGATTGTACAAACACAGAAGGAGGTTCTGTCTTGTCCTGTCCGGTTCCTCTCCTGAGGAGTGTATGCTCAGATCCAGACAGAGATACACAACACAGTGTGGGAATAACATACAAGAGATGGGTCTGAAGGGGAGAAACAGTAGTTGGTAGAGAGGACACCAGGAGCAATTCCAGCTGTACACCCAGTCCTGCAAGGAGTGACATCTGCGGGCAGGCATCTGACCCCCCCATGCAGGCCAGGGACAGCAGGAAAGAACGAACAAAGCTGGCAGTGGGGAGAGGACACAGAGGAGTGACTCAGGGAGGCACAGGCAGTGGGAGAGGGTGTAGGAGGAATACATGAATAATAAAAACGAGCTTCCGAGAAGAGTTTGCATTGGCCACAAGCCCCGGGCACGTAAGGAATGACCTCGCTACCTCCTTAAGAGGCTACCAACCCGACTGGCCAGACTGGCACCCGAGTGGCTACCAACCAGGACATCACATTCTGGGACCGGCTCTAGGTCCTTGGCGGCATAGCCAGGAGCTCTGCAGGCCTGAGTGGCCAGAGGGGAGGAAGAGCCTAACCCTGAATCTTTGTGGCGGGGGGGGGGGGGGGGGTTGGAGGGGGGCGTTCACAGGCTTGCGGAGGAGAGGAGTCAAGGAAAGAGCTGAGAGAGAGGTACCAGGCGGAGGACGAGTTAGAACTCAGATACCGATGAGGCAGGACAGATCGGAGCACGGGCCATGAAGAGCTGTGTGAGGACGCCAGGTCCAATCCCGACCCGGAGAGCAACGAAGGAAAGGCATGACTGGCCAGCTGCTGGCTGCGAGCTGGGGGATACGAACAGTCACTAATGGGGAGTGTCCGCATGATGAAAGCCCTCGTGAGAACGGGTCACGTCCTTGTCCCAGCAGAGATTCTGTATTCGCTTCATTCCATTTTCGTTAAAGAGGCTGAGGGGGAATCCTGGTTCACCTCCACATTACTCCCCATTGCATTCAGTGACTGACACTCTTATCTGCTGGCTGTGGCAGGGGGGCACGCCCCGGATTCTACGGCTGGTTCTGATGTTGACTTGCTGCCTGATTGTGGGCAAGTAATGTCACCTCTCTGGACATCCATGTCCCCTCCCATGCTATGTAGCTGCCTCTTCCTGTGTGTACATACAGTGTCAGTACCTACCACGTATCAGTAGGCACCACTCTAATGCTAATCACACAACTGCACCAGTAAAAACTGGAGCCACCCCATCGGAATCAGGCCCTGAGCCTTCCAAGTTCACCTCCTTTATAAAAAAGCTCTTGGGAGCTACAGTGCAGAGAGCCACGTCAATAAATATTCTGCAGACCCTGCAGAGAGGAACTATAAGATGCACCGAGGACTCATGTAAGTGGTGCAACTCCATGGATTTCATTAGAGATGCCCCTACTTACATCAGACTTTACTTGGCCACAATGGGACTAACACTTCCTGGCTGGAGGACGTGTACGGAGTTAGGCACCTACTTGCTATTTGTACCTTTGAAAATCTACTCCACCTTGAGCTGACTACTTGCCCGTAAATCCTTTCAGCTCCTTGAGATTGCATTCTGTCGAGGTGGAAGGCCATTAGGTCATGGTATTCGTTGGTCAGAAATATGTTGCATACAACACCCAATAATATACATTGAAGTTCTAGTAGAGAGTGAATCCCTGCACCTGTGGCCAATGTTCCTGCTAATTTTTTCCATCCATGTGCAGAATAAATGTTTTGTGCACTGAGGCATGTGTGGACGTGCACCAACTGTAGAAACACCTGCTGCTGGCCGTGGTCACTCAGCTAATCAGCTGGGTAACATTTGAATCTCTCCTGAGCAGCCACCCAAGGGTTCAGCTTACAGGGAACCCTGCTGTAGCTGTGCCATTATGTTCCATGGAGACATGACCAGGTACCTTCGCAAGGAGAAGCTCAGAAAGCAGCCCTAGTATTCGATGCAGAGACCTTTCCCTAGGGATAATGCCTAAGCAAAAAGCCACTTAGGTCTTGTGTCATGTGTGGTTTGGCCCGCTGGCTGCTCCATCCTCCAGGCAGGACATTCTCCGAGTAGAACAGAGTGTTTTGTGGAGCTACCTTAAAATTCTACCTCTTCTCTTTCAGCCAGAACTTTGCATCAGGTCACCTGGAACTCTTGGAAGCTGACCAGGCAGACAGATGGCGCCTGCATGAGGCAGTTAAGCAACTTCCCCACCTTGATCACTTCCCCTCATGATGATGTCCATGGATATTAGTGATACTCCAGCCGGAGTTAATGAACTCTTGATATTGCTGAGATGGAGAGACAAGCAAGAGGGAAGAGATCAAAGGGAGACTTAGAGAAAGAGACGGTACCAAATAACTCTCTGATCTCCCACTTGGAAAAGGGTGCATGGAGCTACGGAAATCCTCAGCTGACTAAATGTCCATGGCATTCTTGGGAGCCAAACAGGGTTAGTCACCAGATGGAGAGCAGGAAACTTTCTGCAGGAGGCACAGAGAATCCTCCTTCCCTCAGAAGAGGCAGTAGTTAGAAAGCTGGAACCCCGAAGACCCCTTGTCTATAGAGGATGTGTCATCTGTACCAGCTAGAGAGGAAGAATTAGTATAGATGTCTGGTTGACTTGTACTGTGCTACAGTATCTTTCTGCTTCCCCCTTCTGGCCCAAGAGGAGTAGGCAGCATCGTCTCTATTTTTCAAAGGAGCCTAAGAGAATTAGGTACCTAAAACCTACTAAAATTCAGTGCTGTTCCACTGGTGTTGTACAGCATAACTCAGTGGTGGACCAGGGTCTTGAGTGTTAAAACGGAAGTTTCCTACAGTTCTTTATCAACAAAGTCACATGACTCTTTCATCAAACTATCTCAGTATTTTCCTCAGTGATTTTCAATAACACTTCTCTTCTGCCTCGATGTTAGTGGGTTTTTCCCCAAAGCCTGATCCATGGAATATTATACAAAACATGTATGCAAGCCATGTGTCCAGTTCAGCTCACCCAACCATTGTTATACGATGAGATCCCTAGAGATAATAGAATCATAGACTCATAAAATACTAGAACTAGAAGGGACCTTGTCAGATCATCAAGTACAGTCCCCTGCCCTCATGACAGGACCCAGTACCGTCTAGACCAGTGGTTCCCAGACCTTTCGGCATCACGTCCCTCTTTTTGATTTTTGAGAAACCCTCACGCCTCCCCCAAATAGCAGCAAAACTTGTTGAGGAAAAAAAAAGGGAACTGACTGGGGACAAACCACAAAAATAGCAGCACAACTTGTGGGGGGAGGGGGAATTGATGGGGGGGGCTGGAAGGAACCTCAAGAGGTCATCTAGCCCTTCCCCGCCCCCCAGTTTGGGAACCCATGGTCTAGACCATCCCTAACAGGTGTTTGTCTAAGCTGTTCTGAAATGTCTCCAATGATGGAGATTCCACAACCTCTCTAAGCAATTTATTCCAGTGCTTAAACATCTTGACAAGAAGTTTTTCCTAATGTCCAACCTAAACCTTCCTTGCTGCAATTTCAGCCCATTGCTTCTTGTCCTATCCTTAGCAGTTAATGAGAACAATTTTTCTCCTTCCTCCTTCAAACACCCTTTTAGGTACTTGAAAGCTGCTATCATGTCCCCTCTCAGTCTTCTCCTTTCCAAACTAAACAAACCCAATTCTTTCAGTATTCCCTCAAAAGTCATGTTTTCTAGACCTTTAATCATTTTTGTTGCCCTTCTCTGGATCTTCTCCAATTGCTCCACATTTTTCCTGGACACAATACTCCAGCTGAGGCCTAACCAGCGCAGAATAGAGGGGAAGAATGACTTCTCGTGTCTTGCTCACAACACACTTATTAATGCATCCCAGAATGATGTTTGCTATTTTTTGCAAGTGTCACGTAATAGGAACATAAGATTTAAGCAAATGTCTTAAATCTCAAATATGTCTGTTACCTACCTGGTTATACTGAAATCTCTTTGCTTGAGAATTAAATCCCTTTTTTTCAGTGTTTGGGATCACTCTTGTCTCGTATTTATAAGGAATGGAGGAGACCTTGTAATCTAAAAGGTAAAGGCGATAAAAACAAGATCCTGAAGGTAACGATCCAGGAAATACGTAACTGTAGCACCAAACTTCATTTTAACTAGGAAACGTACATTAAATGCAAAGCTCGCATTAATGCCATGCTCGGGTCACAAAATCACCATCTGGTTTGGCTCTGAATTTTTCTGTTTTATTTATTGCTGTGGAGCTTTAAAGGTGCTTCAGTGATCACAAAGGGCCTTAGGGATGACTCAGATACTGCTGACTCCTTTTCAACCCGTGTCCTTACTTAGACCTAATGGCCACAGAGACCGTTTAGGTCAGTCACTCTCCCAGAGGACACTGCCGCCCTGATCCTCCAAGGCAGGAGGCAACTCACTTCCATTGAATTGATAGCAACAAGCTCCGGGCCTCTGTGCTGTGCAGCATTGGGCTCAAAGGCCTTGCCCACACTGAGACTTCCTTGCCATTTCCCACTCGTGCAGCGTGGTGACAAAGGTGGGAGGTCGCGGGGCCGGCGCACTGTGTTTTTACCACTGTGTCATTGGAGTAACGCTGGTTGACACTGTGCAAATCGCCTGCTCTTCCCTACTCTGGAGCTCCCTCTGCTGCTGTTGGCAGTGGAGCGGGGCCAGTAGCTGTGCCACAGCCAGAGGGTTTAAACAAAGGCTCTGTGTGAACATGGCCATGCTGCTGCCCAGGGAGGAACCGCTGCTGCTGTTGGCAGTGGAGCGGGGCCGGTAGCTGTGCCACAGCCAGAAGGGGCGAGAGGATCTTTGATATTAGTGGGAAAGGCAAACCAGGGACGAGGTGAGGGAGAAACGGCAGAGGAGAGAATGCTCTGCCTGTACGGAGAGCGAGGTGGCAAGTGCTAAATCAGAGGGGAGCTGCGAGACACGGGCTATGATTTAAATCCACAGAAGCAGGCTGCTGGGCCACTTTGGCCCTGCCCGGTCAGTGGGAGGGGAGCGACCCCTGCTGCCGCCCTGCACCAGGCCCCGTAATCCGCCGAGTTCCTGAATCATCCTTTGGACTGGACGGGAGGGCTCTGCCTGGAGCTGTGTTTTCCCATTCTCTGCCACCAAGTGATGACTGCATGTGAACGCGCTCACAATACCGTACCCCTGGATGCTTTCCCGATCTGCACAGCATGGGTTCCTTTGACCCTCGCAGCTACAGCCAAGTTCTCAGAGCAGGCAGCCATGCCACGCAGCTACTGCACACTGGCTGGAGAAACTCTTCCTCGCAGACTCACCATTTTGTTTCTAAACCATCAATTGGAAATATCAGAAATGTTATGAAAATGAGAAGGAAAAACTAGCCAGCGTTTCTAAACCAGGCTGGAATGGCAAAGCTGTAATAAACAAGGGAATTTCCTGTTCCGATTACAATGAATACTGTGTTTTACGTCCTACAGAATCGGTCACCAAGTCCCAAGATCCCTGCAACCCTGACTTCAGTGGGCCTGCTGGGGGAATGAAGGGTGCAGGTGCGGCACCTACACATTGACAGCAACCCGTCTGCCCTCTCTGGAGAGGAGTGACATGGTAACAACCGAGCTTCTCGGCTGCGTGGGAGGGAGGGAAAGGATTAGACCAGAAAAGAGTGAGGCAAAGCCCTGCTCTTGTGCCAGAAGGGGTGGGGACCTGGAACCTCTACAAGGAGTGCGCTGACCCTCTGATTGAAGGTTATTTTAAAGGTGACACTGGAGCCAGAGTATGAAGCCCAGGACTTGTGCTAAGAGACTCTGCTAGGCCAAGGGAGAGGAAGCATCCCCTGCTAGGACAGCAATTCTCAACCTTTTCCCATTTGTGGACCCCTAAAAAATTAAAAATGGTGGGGCAGACCCCTTGGGAACCTGCCGCCTGTCTATAGACATTGGCCCCTCGAGGCGGGACCCCCCCCCCCCGTCACGTCACACGATGCACACATTGGCCCCTCGAGGCGGGACCCCCCCCCCCCGTCACGTCACACGATGCACACATTGGCCCCTCGAGGCGGGACCCCCCCCCCCCGTCACGTCACACGATGCACACATTGGCCCCTCGAGGCGGGACCCCCCCCCCCCGTCACGTCACACGATGCACACATTGGCCCCTCGAGGCGGGACCCCCCCCCCCCGTCACGTCACACGATGCACACATTGGCCCCTCGAGGCGGGACCCCCCCCCCCCGTCACGTCACACGATGCACACATTGGCCCCTCGAGGCGGGACCCCCCCCCCCCGTCACGTCACACGATGCACACATTGGCCCCTCGAGGCGGGACCCCCCCCCCCCGTCACGTCACACGATGCACACATTGGCCCCTCGAGGCGGGACCCCCCCCCCCCGTCACGTCACACGATGCACACATTGGCCCCTCGAGGCGGGACCCCCCCCCCCCGTCACGTCACACGATGCACACATTGGCCCCTCGAGGCGGGACCCCCCCCCCCCGTCACGTCACACGATGCACACATTGGCCCCTCGAGGCGGGACCCCCCCCCCCCGTCACGTCACACGATGCACACATTGGCCCCTCGAGGCGGGACCCCCCCCCCCCGTCACGTCACACGATGCACACATTGGCCCCTCGAGGCGGGACCCCCCCCCCCCGTCACGTCACACGATGCACACATTGGCCCCTCGAGGCGGGACCCCCCCCCCCCGTCACGTCACACGATGCACACATTGGCCCCTCGAGGCGGGACCCCCCCCCCCCGTCACGTCACACGATGCACACATTGGCCCCTCGAGGCGGGACCCCCCCCCCCCGTCACGTCACACGATGCACACATTGGCCCCTCGAGGCGGGACCCCCCCCCCCCGTCACGTCACACGATGCACACATTGGCCCCTCGAGGCGGGACCCCCCCCCCCCGTCACGTCACACGATGCACACATTGGCCCCTCGAGGCGGGACCCCCCCCCCCCGTCACGTCACACGATGCACACATTGGCCCCTCGAGGCGGGACCCCCCCCCCCCGTCACGTCACACGATGCACACATTGGCCCCTCGAGGCGGGACCCCCCCCCCCCGTCACGTCACACGATGCACACATTGGCCCCTCGAGGCGGGACCCCCCCCCCCCGTCACGTCACACGATGCACACATTGGCCCCTCGAGGCGGGACCCCCCCCCCCCGTCACGTCACACGATGCACACATTGGCCCCTCGAGGCGGGACCCCCCCCCCCCGTCACGTCACACGATGCACACATTGGCCCCTCGAGGCGGGACCCCCCCCCCCCGTCACGTCACACGATGCACACATTGGCCCCTCGAGGCGGGACCCCCCCCCCCCGTCACGTCACACGATGCACACATTGGCCCCTCGAGGCGGGACCCCCCCCCCCCGTCACGTCACACGATGCACACATTGGCCCCTCGAGGCGGGACCCCCCCCCCCCGTCACGTCACACGATGCACACATTGGCCCCTCGAGGCGGGACCCCCCCCCCCCGTCACGTCACACGATGCACACATTGGCCCCTCGAGGCGGGACCCCCCCCCCCCGTCACGTCACACGATGCACACATTGGCCCCTCGAGGCGGGACCCCCCCCCCCCGTCACGTCACACGATGCACACATTGGCCCCTCGAGGCGGGACCCCCCCCCCCCGTCACGTCACACGATGCACACATTGGCCCCTCGAGGCGGGACCCCCCCCCCCCGTCACGTCACACGATGCACACATTGGCCCCTCGAGGCGGGACCCCCCCCCCCCGTCACGTCACACGATGCACACATTGGCCCCTCGAGGCGGGACCCCCCCCCCCCGTCACGTCACACGATGCACACATTGGCCCCTCGAGGCGGGACCCCCCCCCCCCGTCACGTCACACGATGCACACATTGGCCCCTCGAGGCGGGACCCCCCCCCCCCGTCACGTCACACGATGCACACATTGGCCCCTCGAGGCGGGACCCCCCCCCCCCGTCACGTCACACGATGCACACATTGGCCCCTCGAGGCGGGACCCCCCCCCCCCGTCACGTCACACGATGCACACATTGGCCCCTCGAGGCGGGACCCCCCCCCCCCGTCACGTCACACGATGCACACATTGGCCCCTCGAGGCGGGACCCCCCCCCCCCGTCACGTCACACGATGCACACATTGGCCCCTCGAGGCGGGACCCCCCCCCCCCGTCACGTCACACGATGCACACATTGGCCCCTCGAGGCGGGACCCCCCCCCCCCGTCACGTCACACGATGCACACATTGGCCCCTCGAGGCGGGACCCCCCCCCCCCGTCACGTCACACGATGCACACATTGGCCCCTCGAGGCGGGACCCCCCCCCCCCGTCACGTCACACGATGCACACATTGGCCCCTCGAGGCGGGACCCCCCCGCTCCCGTGCTGGGGAGAGGGCCTGAGCCTGTCCCCACCCACTGCCAGGCACGGCCTAGAAACCCAAGGACGAGGGTTTGAGCCCCGCTGCGTGATCCCTCTCCTGCTCGTCCTTGCGGGAGCTGCCTCTTGCCCGCACCCAGCGGAAGGGCCCTGTGCTCGGCTGGAGCCTCCAAGGGCTCCTGGACCGTAAATAAACCCTCGTGCTCCTCAGATTGTCACATCTGCTCACTCCCCGGTAGACACCTCAATAGGCCTCTGATTCTTTACAGTGCTCAGCACCCAGCAGCTGCCAGTGGGCCCCCTTCAAAACCTCTGGCCCTTATTAGGTGCTTTAGGGGCCAGTGAGGTAGTTTGGAAATCTGGCCCGTCACATCTAACCTTAAGTGATCTGATCAGCACGCGTAAGACACCTTTTAGGGATGTGAAGGGGTAACCGCTTACCTGGTACCCAGGAGTAGTCCCCCGTGGAGGGCTGCTCCTGCCCCACCAGGCCACTGGAGAGAGCAGCCCCTGCCTGAGGCAAGGTGTGTGTGTGGAGGGGGAAGGGGGTCCCTCCAGCCCCACTGCAACAGCGATTCTGCCTCCCCCTTCAATCGGTTACTGTTAAACCCTGCCTTTAACCGGGGAACTAGGGTTGTACATCCCCAGTACCTGTATGATCAAATCAGTGAACAAGTTTTAACTAGCATCAGGACTATTCTGCAGGACAGAAACCGATGGTCTGGCAGCAGCATCCAAAGCCCACCCCGTTAGCCAGGGGCCTGGGGGCTGTGCCGCCAGGCAAGCTGAGCACCTGCAATGCTCAGTGATTTCCTGGGGAGTCGCTTGTGCTCATCGTCTCCCAGGACCAGGCCTCTAACGATGAAATCTGCCCCCTCCACTCTCGGGGCTACGGACAGGAGAGGAGGGTACTCGGCACCTCTGGGGTCTCGCGCATTTGGACCATGACATCCCGTTACGCTGATGAACTCGCTCCATACAGAATTAACAGCAAGGAGGCCTGGCATCGTAACGACTAGCAAACATATTCATAAGAACGGCCGTGCGGGGTCAGACCAAGGTCCATCTAGCCCAGTAGCCTGTCTGCCGACAGTGGCCAGCACCAGGTGCCCCAGAGAGGGTGGACCGAAGACACGATCAAGCGACTTGTCTCCTGCCATCCCTCTCCAGCCTCTGACAGACAGAGGCCAGGGGCACCATTTTATCCCCTGGCTAATAGCTTTCCTGCGCTGCAGCCAATGTGCCAGCTACGTTTTTCATCCATGTGCAGAATACATTTTGTTAGGGGGCACCACCAGCAGACACGCTGGCGGCTGTGGGCGCTCTGCTAACCAGCGGGGCAGCATTTGAATCTCTCCTGGGTGGCCGCCCGAGTGCACAGCTTGCAGGGAGCCCTGGCTGCAGCTCGCTGCACCAAAGCTGATGCCCGGATAAATCCGTTAGTGCCAGGGGACTCCGTGTTTGTGCAGACAGTGGCCACTAGAGGCCACCCCACAAAATGGTACAAAAGCGCAGCTCCTCTCCTCCGCTTTCCTGCTCTGCCTCGTTAGCATCTTGCCCTTCCCCGTGCCCAGCCAATAGCCTGGCTCTGCCACCCACACCCGCCTGCAGCCCGGCAGCTGAATCAGGGTCAGGCCTGCCAGCTGACTGGCATGTCCAGCAACAAATCACAGTGCCTTGGCTAGGAGCAAACCATGGCACCAGGCTGGGAGGCCTGAGCTGGGTAAGGCATTAGGAGCAGTCCCTGGGGGGAAGGCTCAGCAAAGCAGAGCCCTTCCCAGCTGATCTGGAGTGGGAACCGGGGCGCTGTGTCTGGAGCCCAGCTGGGGTGAGTGACAGGAAACTGGAGGGTTGTCTGTCACTTCTGGGCATCTGCCCGTCTGGGAACTTCCTTATGTGTCCAGGCTGGTGTGTCTGCCCTGCTGGGCCTGGCGCTAGGAAGGCCAGCCGGGGTGAGTGTTGGGAGCAGGTCCAGGGGGAGGTGGGTGCCTAGACCAGGAAGTGACGGGGAACCTTTTTTGTTTGGACAGCATAGCTCCGGATCTGGACTGTGGCTGGGGAGCAGTTCCACAGGGGGAGCTTGCTCTCCTAGGGGCCGATGGGGACGACCGGTTCCCTGGGTGGCGTGTGTCTGCCTGTGCTGGACGCGGGAAGGGCATTTGCTGCATTTGCTGCATTTGTTTTACGGGGCTGGGCCAGGTAAACCCTGACTAGGCCTAGCACTGGGACAGAGGGATTGGGGTTTGTAGCCACAGCACGGGACTGGCTCCTCGTCCCATTTTTGCCACTCGCTCATCCTGTGACCTTGGGCGACGCACTTGCGGTCTGGCTTTGGGGGGCGCTTAGCTTCCGTTGCTCAGATTGGCTTCAAGACCGTGCGGTTCCAGTGGGACTTGTAAGTGCTCAGCGCCTCTGAAAAGCAGCTCGTACGCTGCTCTGTGCTTCAGCTTCCCCTCTAAGAAGGGATCACCGTGTGAGTCTCAGTCCCTGGCGGCTTGCCAAGCGCTTTGAAAGATGCTATCTGAGTGCTTCCTGCTGCTTGGCCCCTCAGGTGTGCGTGGTGTGTCCCAGACAACCACAGTGGGTCTTGCCACTGCAGCCCTGGCTTTGTGTGTGTGTGTCACTTTAGTAACCCCGGTAGGAGAAAAACGAACGTGGACAGAAACCAGCGTAATCCGGCAGCTCGGCGCGTGGGTAACGGTAAATGAAATGTCTCGGGGCCACACACTGAACTCCAGTGGGCTGCACGTGCCTCGCGAGCGGCCAGTTGCTTGGTGTCCTTGGCCAGAATGTCTCATCCCATCCTCCCCTAGTTTACCACCTGGCTGCCTGGCATGCGTGTGTATTCATCACTGTAAATGCGCCGCACGCAGGTGGCAAGTTTTGTGATTATTGAGCGTTTATTTATCTGACTTTTATTTTTAAATCTTTCTTCATGTCTTTAAAATCTCAGGCAATACCAGTCTCTGGGATGTGATTGATCCACCCCTCCTGCAGTGATTGCCTCGGCCCTGCCTTGCTGGGTGGCAAAGGAGGCAGCAGAACCGCCACTGTGGGCGTGCTCGGGTTCCTGTCCAGCCGTTCTTCGCTCTGTGCAGCACGATGGAGAGGAAGAAGTGGTGTAACGGGATGGTCCAGGAGGCAGCGGCTGTGCCTGAGTCTCTCCTCTGAAGAGCAGCTGCAGCTGTCGAGGAAGCCGCAGGGGAGATGCGTAAATAAACCAGAATGGAAGGAGGGAAGGGCCCCGATCTGCAGCTGCAGCAGCTTCCATTTGCCACGGCGGCTGTATCGGTGCTGCCCCATGAGGACCCCTTTTCGTACAGGGTGAGGTGCCCGTAGCTGTAAAACGTGGCCTGGGATTTACGGCCACCTTCACTTGCGGCTCGGAAACAGAAATATTCCCTGGAGTGAGCTGGCCTGGCTCCGGGGGTTTGTATTACGGCAGCGCCCGGAGGCCTGCGTGGGCCCAGTGCCCCGTACAGGCAGTGGAGGCCCCGCCCCTGCCCTGAACGCCCGACTGCACAAACAGTGGAGATCGAGTGGAAGGGAGACGGGAAGGGTTAACTCCCCTCTTGTGACGAGGGAGCTGAGGGACGGAGGCCCAGATTTGGGATGTGAAAGGTTAACTGGCTTACCCTTAATGGATGCTGCTTACTGGTTCCGGTAACCGGGGGGGCTGGAGCTGCTCTCTCCCTGCCACAGGGACCGCTGCGGATCAGGGCTGCTCTCCCGGCAAAGCCAGCTACAGCCAGGCTGCAGTACCTCCTACCTGCAGTGGGGGGCGCTGCTCCTGCCCAGCCTTGGCAGGCCCTGGGCTGCAGGAACCCCTCCCGTGCCCCCTTTAATTGGTTAAGCAGTTAAATGGGATTTTCCATCCCTACCAGATCCAAAGGGATTTAGGCTCCTCACTTTCAATCACTTAGTTGGGCGCGAGGAGCCGGACTAACCTTGGGGAGCTGGGCTAAGAGCTGAGTGACTGAGCCACGGCCAGACAGGGAGCTGGGGAGTGGGCCCGATGCTTTCGCCTCAAGCCCGGCTTCCTCTGCAGTGGGCCTGAGGCTGCGATGGTCAGAGGGGCGCGTTCGGGCTGGGACTCCAGGCCCCGGGAAGATCCCAGGTCGAATGCCGCTGAACGCTGGCCAGGGCGCGTCTCCGGAGCTGTGGATCTGGGGCCATGGCACTCAGGGAGGTGGTGTGGGCTGGCTTTGAGCTGCCCTGCAGGGGCTGCGGGGTGGAGGCTGAGGCTTGGTGGATGAACCTGTAGAACCTGCTGCGCTTCTCAGCAAGGCGTCCGGGAGGGTTGTGCTATTGGTCTCCGCCTGCTGTCTGCGGGAGCATGTTCTCTTACGGCCCGTCACTGCCCCTGCCAGCTGGCTCGGGCTACGGCCTCTCTCATTGCAGGGGCGCTATTGAGGTTAGGCTGGAGCCCAGCCTCAGGGCCCTGGCTCACGATGTCTACACAGGACCTAGCCCCTTAGCCCAAGCCCTGAGTCAGCCGGCAGGGGCCAGCTGCAGTGGAGACCTACCCTTGGGTACTCGGGGAGACTTAATGGGATTTTTACTGCTTAACCGGCTACTCCTGCACATCCCTGCTTTAAAGCCATTGCCTGGCTGCGCGTGGGAAATCAACGCAATGTCTTTGATATCAATAGTTGGGAGGGGAAGAGAGAAACCCAGAAGGGCCCAGCGGCCCAAATGAATCCCTCTCAAGGACCCTCTGCCCCTGAAACGAAAGCCAGGACCGTGCAGCACTTTAAAGACTAACAAGATGGTTTATTAGGTGATGAGCTTTCTTGTTAGTCTCTAACATGCTACCTAGTCCTGGGTTTTGTTTCAGCTACACCAGACTAACACGGCTGCATCTCTATCCCTCTCCCCCGGGCCGCTGTGTTTGAAACAGCCTGTTCATGGAGCCCATTGCCAGAGGAATCCAAATGGTGACTGATCACTCCAGGCGTTTCTGATGGAGCCTTTGTGTGGCTCCTCTTGCCTTTCATCCCTTGCTGCTTTGAGTTCTGCCTCTCGCTTGCTCAGCGTGTTGCTGTTTGGCAAGCGCTGGGCTGCCAGCAGAACGTGTGGCCTTCGGTGCTTTCCGCCCTGCGCTGGTCTCTGGAATGACGAACTGGGTCATTTCAAAGGCGCAGGCTGAGCCTCGTCCTGGCCGATGGAGGGTTGGGAAGATATTTATTAGAGGCTGAACCTGGAATTGAAGAAAAATGCTGAAGAACCTGCCTAGGCCACGCTCCGGTGAACATCAAATTCTCGGGTCCTTGGTGAAAATGGATTTTAGGGGTTTTGCTTAGTGAAAAAGAATATGGCACGGGGCTACCTCGCCTTCCTGCTGGGATCTCCGAGAGCTCCGTCAGCATGAAACTTCTCAAAGCCCCTGCCAGGCAGGAGAGTAGTAACTCCATTCCACAGCCGGGTAGCTGAGGCACTGGGAAGCTAATTGACTTGCTTGAGATCATATAAGAATAGGGTTGAGAGCTGAAGACAGGATTCAGAGACAGGGCAGGGTTTTGAATTCTTGAATCGGGACTGCTCCTCCCTCCCCCACCAACTTCCGCTGACTTTACAGGAGAAATGTTCTATCTGCATCTTTGCTTTGCTTTACAGGAAAACTTGATTGGTGCATTACTAGCTATATTTGGCCATCTGGTTATCAGTATTGCACTCAACCTCCAGGTGAGTATCACGGACCAAATCTTGACCCTGTACTTAAAGAGCTGTGAGGAGCCCTACACATCTGCTTTTTAATTTTTTTTTTCCTTTCTAGAAGTATAGCCACATCCGGCTGGCAGGTTCCAAAGACCCGCGGGCGTATTTTAGGACCAAGACGTGGTGGTGTGGTCTGTTTTTGCTGCTGCTGGGAGAAGTGGGTGTGTTTTCATCCTATGCCTTTGCACCTCTTTCGCTGATTGTACCCCTCAGTGCGGTGTCTGTTATAGGTAAAGGAAAAGGGTTCCTTGTTTACAGACCGGTGTGAGCTTGCCTATGAAAATGCCATGCACGTAACTTTGCTTGTCTTTTTTAATAGCTAGCGCAATCATAGGAATTATATTCATTAAAGAAAAATGGAAGCCCAAAGACTTTCTGAGTAAGTTTCACTTCGACTATTCTGTATTCTGCATTTCTGCTTTGAATGCTGCTTAGTTTTTCCTCCATTAACCCTGTACTATATGGCATGACCGTTCCCAAAGGGAGGCTACGTCCCACATGGACATGTTTCCACTAGAAAAATGTATCTGCTGTTTTTACAACTGGATTTTCCAAATCTGGCGTTGATTGTTGAAAATGCAGCTGTTAGGTCCCCTCCTTGTTTGCGGATCTTAGCAAGAGCTTGATGGCGGGTTTGCTGGAGGCATCTGGCAGCGCTGGTTTCCTTGGGCCTTGACCCTGACAATCCCTTCTATCAGAGGCCTCAAACTCCTGGCCCGTGAGCCATTCCCAGCCAGAGGGATTGCACAGACCGGCCCAGGCCTCCCAGTGGGCGGGAGGAGTTGTCTGTTACTGGCCCCCAAGCTCTGCCCCTTCCTGCCCTCTGTCCCCCCTCGGCAACCCTCATCTGGCAGCGCTGGTTTCCTTGGGCCTTGACCCTGACAATCCCTTCTATCAGAGGCCTCAAACTCCTGGCCCGTGAGCCATTCCCAGCCAGAGGGATTGCACAGACCGGCCCAGGCCTCCCAGTGGGCGGGAGGAGTTGTCTGTTACTGGCCCCCAAGCTCTGCCCCTTCCTGCCCTCTGTCCCCCCTCGGCAACCCTGTCCTACAGAGCGTGGCTTCAGAGATCATTGGGGTGGCCTCATGTCATGTGGCAGTAGCATTCAGT